GTGAATCCAAAAGAAGGAGGAGGTAGATATCAAAAAACAAAAAACCCTCCAACTTTGGACAGTGGAATTTCAATTACTTACAATCCCAACCAATGACACATTGAGCATCTTGTTCTCCTTAATGCCTTACACCAGCTGAGGATCTTGTAGCAGGATTGTTATGTATGCTTTAAATGTCTGAGTACGTTATAGCAATAGCAATAGCAGTTATATACCGCTTCATAGGGCTTTCAGCTCTCTCTAAGCGGTTTACAGAGTCAGCATATTGCCCCCAACAACAACTTGTAAAATGTGGTGAAACTCACTTAACAACGCTCTTGCTTAGCAACCAAAATGTTGGCTCAGAAACAATCCGGGTCCTCATTTTACCCACCTCGGAAGGATGGAAGGCTGAGTCAACCCTGAGCCGGTGAGATTTGAACAGCCAAACTGCAAAACTGCAGTCAGCTGAAGTAGCCTGCAGTGCTGCATTTAACCACTGCGCCACCTCGGCTCGGAGATTAATATGTATGTATGTATGTATGTATGTATGTATGTATGTATGTATGTATGTACACACACACACACTGTTATATTGTTGGAGAGAAACCTTTCAAGTCAGACAGAGGGGCTAATCAGGGAATTAGCCTGGATTTGTTATGTAAACACAATAGAGTAAGGTCTGACAACCCCCCCCCCCATCCCACAATGCCTTTTGTGCCTGAGATATGTCATTACAGTCTGGTTATTTTGAATCAATGTACATATGGTATGTATTTATAGATTACATACTCTGGAAATTCACTAATAAGATTTTGACTGATTTGCACAGGAACTCTTTTACTATACCAATTAATCAATTATTAGTTAAAAGTCAGTAAGTATCTTGTATATACAGTGATCAGAATTTCTAACGATATGCTGAAATCATCTGAACAATATACTGAAATCATCTGAAGAAATGCAATATAACTTTTAGACAAAATGAAATACCATGAAACAACATCCTTTCATTAGCATGATTATGATTCTCTTCAGTAACCTCTTTCCTCCTATGAGTGTATCTTTCCCAAAGCTTTTTGTTACATACTTTTTGTATCTAGAAGGGGGGAAAAAAATCCAAAATTTCAGTCAATGTTCTTCCATACCTTCTGATATCATTTGCACTGTACAATTAACATGGAATAAACAGATAATTATTCTTCCTAAAATAAATGGTAATATAAACTTTCTTTATAAAAAGAAAGACTTCTTGATAATCTGAAACCTTATTTAACAGTAAAAATGTTAACTATAGATAGTCCCCAACATGATTGGGCACCCCAACTGCAGTCTTGTGACCTTGGGGGCATGTTGTAATTTCAGAACAAAGCTGTAAGTGTGGTAGCTTTTGGGGAGTCGGTCATAATGTAAAATAGACAATAAGTGATTGGTCCTAAGTTGAGAACTACCTATTTTGAAGCACCTATTATTTGCATTTGAACTGATTATGTTTATATTTTTCAGAAATAATAGTGACAGAATGAGAACATACATAAAAGTTGAAACCACAAATTCAAATGAAATTATAGTAAGTAAATAATAAATAACGTTAAGAAAAAAATCATCAATACAGAATTAACTTCAACTAGAACATCAATCACTGTTATCAATTTAGCTGAAGACTTCAAACCCCAAATTTCTTTAAAAACAATGCATTGTTTAGAAGCCACTACTAACCCCTTTCAGCTTTGAAAATTACTCACAAGGGTACCAGAGCTACCCACACATTACCTTTAAGATGTTGTATCTGTTGAAAATCCCACCAGCGTGGCCGCCATCTCTGTGTTCTCGAACAGTGCTTTGCATCTTAACGTTAAAATGTACACAGATAAATATATAAATAAAATCTAAATCAAAACACCGGAATGTAAGTCAGCTGAATAAAACTATTGTCTGGAAATAATTTCTTCATAATGGATCAGTGTTCTCTATCGGAGTTATGTTAATTGGTATTGACTTATTTTGTAGACTCTCAAATGCAGATTCATATAATCTCATTTGAAGAAGGTTGTTGATGGATGAAATTTACATTAGTCCTCATTTCAATTAATTCTTTGGAAGTACTGCTTACTATACGGTAAGCAGTAAGCAAGTATGCAACTACTGCTTATTATTTTAAAAGATTTTTTTTCTTCTGTTCAATGTTTTATTCTTAAGGGTTTCTAGTTGGATACCTTAGCCACACCACCAAACTCTCAAAAGATAATTTACTATCCTGTTTTACTGAAAATAAGACCTCCCCGGATAATAAGCTCAATTGGGCTTTTGAGCGCATGCACTAAAATAAGCCCTCTCTGAAAATATTGCAACACAGCAGCAGCCATGAGGTGACCACGCTCGCCGCCTCCTGCACTTCAAAAATAATAAGACCTCTCTGAAAATAAGGCAAGTGCTTATTTCAGGGGTCAAAAGAAAATAAGACCCTGTCTTATTTTTGAGGAAACACGGTATTGCCATAATTATGATTATAATACATTGTAAACCGCCCTTGGGTTTGAAGAGTAGAAAACAGCAATATGAAATTATGACTAATTGTTCCAAAGTACAGCAGTCAGCATTAATTGATGAATCATCATGCCAGGAAAATTACGGTTACATTATTGCATTTCATAGCAATAGATTTAACTAATGCTATAGACACAATGTTTAAGTATTTAAGGATATACATCAATAATGTACCTCATCCTCCACCGACTGGAACTCTTTATCATCCGGAGAGAGATCTATAAGGATTGTCCCACTACCCGAAGTATTCAATGTTAGATATGTATTAAGACCTAAGAGAAACGACAACATTACATCTTGAGTACATTTTAGACCTACTGTCTGATTCATTCACTTTTTTTGGTGACTAAAATAAATGAAAATGGAAACATTACAATTTTGAGCTACAGAAATGCATAAAATATAGCTTAAATGTTTTACTTATTATAACATACCTTGCTGTCCAGAGATCAGCCTTTCAACTCCTTTTATTATTTTGTGTCTATGACCATAAGCATTAATTCCAATTTCCTTTAATTCTCTGTGCCCCATTTCAACAAGTACATCCAATGTTATCTGCAAAGAAAAGGAATTATTAAATATTAAAATTATTAATTAAAATTTCAATAGATTGCCAAAAAGGTGTGGTTAGATTTTTGCATTTCAACTAATAAAGTGATAATGTTTTGATAGAAGCCACATTGTTATGTAATGCTTAGAAACAAGAGTGAAATAATTTTGCCATGTTAATAACAAAAACCTTCATCTGATTCAAGTTCACTTTAAAAAAAAACTTAGGTTATCAAAAAGGATTATCCGATCACAATTTCTTAAAGTTTTTCTTAACCATTGAAATATATTCTGCATTTAAATCTTTTTTCCTTTAAAATGCATTTAAGGAAAATATGTGACAGCCCACTGCTTGACGAAGAGATATTTTACTTCTCTTATTGTTTTACTATCGTTATCATCAATTTTTTAATATTTGTGTTTAAAATTTAATTTAAATCAAATAGTTCGAGATGCTAGGAAATGAAGCGTTATTACACATTTCAAATCTTTCACACAAAGGCTTTGTTAAGATGGAACAAGCCATGCAAGGTTTGTAGCTATACAACTGAAACTCAGATATGCATGCTACCTCTTCATATGTAAAACAGCTACACCCAAACTAACCATATAATGTGAAGGACGGTATCAATGTATTTTATTGTAAATTGGGAACTCTGTTTTGCCATATTACAAAGAAAGAGGGAGAGAATTGTACCAGATTATAATTCCAAAATAAATGAGTAATGAATTGAGGCAAAAATGATGCCTTAGAATAGGGGTGTCAAACTGGCAGCCTGGATGCTTCATGTGCAGGCCATGCCCATCCCGGCTCCACAAAGGAAAAAAGGTCACGAAATGTCACGTGACATTAATCAAATTTGACACCCATGCCTTAGATGCTGAAAATCTGGAAGCTTCTTGCATAATCCTTTTTATCTCAATCAACAGATTAATTTCATTAGTAAAACACTGGTGGACTCAAAATAAAAACATTTTTTACAAATCTTTCAGGTTAGCACCACTGAATTATTGGGGTAATTACTAATTATTATAGGTGAATCAGTATTTATATCATTATATTTCCTGAAGTTAGCAAAAATAATTTGCAGGCAAAATCAATTCTCTAAAATGTACCTTATATTAGTTTAAGAAATATTTTAGAGACATTAATGAGGGAAAGCTGGTATGTGTTCCTTAGTATTTCAACTTAGCTCTTTGAAACTCAAGATATAATCAATCTCCACAAATCCTGCTTACAAACATTCTCCCAAGCTAAAATTTAAATCAATGATTTCGTAATTGTTTCCCTTGAAATTTATTGTTTACTTGGTTTCCAAACCAAGATGGTTACTTACCTGCTCTCTTTCAAGTATGTCAATCAAATGTTCAAGTCCAAGATTTCTCACAAATTGATTGATGCTAAAATCTACATTGAGAACTAAATATGAAAGTAATTATTAGCTACATAGAAATTGAACTGAAGTTATTCTATCATGCTACAGGCATATATGTTCACTACAAGAATAACCAATGCAATATTTTCATAAAACTACCATATTGAAATATACTTTTAAAGTACAAAGTGACCTTATCTTCCACTTAAAATTCTATTTAGCCAAATTAAACATTTTAGTATTTTCTTAAATCTCATCTTCACTATACATCCAGTGTATAGTGTACACATTAAAAAACTTTTTTGGGTAGAATGTAGGATTCCATGGGAAATCCTACAGTTAACATAATATGTTTAAGCCCACAATTAATTACTTTCGGGATGCTAATTTTTTCCAGGAAAAAGATACACCAGGCTCCCCAAATCTTAAGATATTACAAATTGAACAAATCAGTTTTATGGTTGCCCACTTGTGTAAGCTTCAACTCAAACATAGATACATTTAACCCATAGATGATTATTTAAGTGATCACTTAAATATGCTTTAATTTGGATTCTTGCATAGAGCAAGCGGTTGAACTAACAGTCCCTTCCAATTCTATGATTCTGTATTAAAAGTATACCAAATATGAATCTGTGATGGAGAAACATAGTGAGATCATCATTAGATGTTAGTCTTAATGTATAACTAAGTTATACTGCCCTTTGTATAACAACTTAAAAGCTGACCCAGTAGAAAATGCCAGGCTCACCTTCTTTCTTTTCCAAACTAGCGGCTCCTTCAGCGCTGTTTGTATTAACAACTGAGAGTTCAGAAAAGCTACCAGACAAGCTGTCCAGACTACTGGCAGCTGACAAATTAGATGGACTGGACGGAATGGAAGAAAGTGAATCAGCTGATGTTCCTGTATTCTGAGACACATTTATAACCTGAGGCTTATAACAAGATGGTAAGACAGAAAGTGGCATGGCAGCTGCCAAGAGTGCGCTAACATCATCTGCCTGGAAATTAAAAAAAAAAAAAAACAATTTTGTTAAAATAGTCACAAATACCTGCAAGTCAATTAAATAAAAAAGTGCTTTAGTTGAATTACTCTAATTTTCTTTTTGTTACTTACAATGTCATTTCAGATACTCTGCCCAGAGGTTCCTTGAGTATGGTAACTCCGATGCCAAGACTGAGTTCTACTTGTTTAAGTGTCTGATTAAAATCTATTTCCTGCTACAAACTTGAACGTAACTTGCTTTCTAACCTACCTCTCACAGGCTTAAAGATTAAAATGCTGCACGTGTAACCTACAATTCTATACTCACCTGGGTGAGTGCCCTGCTGTATTCAAAGGAACATATTTCTGAGTATCCAATTGTAGGATAGCATTTTAAAATCACTAAATGCTTACGGGATACAGCTAAATACACAACAGTTCTAATTTAAGCGTAACAATGAATGGGCGATTTTGGACTTAACTGAATGTATTTACATTATTCATGGTATACTCATGGCATATACAGTTTACAGATATAAGACATATTACATTTCGAAACAAACAAAAAAATGTTTCACGTAGTTAAAATACTTCCTAAAAATAACCTGTCACACTTACATTTATGGGCCTTGGGATATTTTAATTCATAAATTGTAATTCAAAAACAATTTAAAATATAAAACCACATTATTCATACATACGGCAAGAATGGTGTTTCAAACTAAAACACCATGGCTGGACTACCTCAAATTGCTTCTGGTTTTATTGGATTTACTTCCGGAAACTGCTGAAATCCCCAGGAGCAGCATGGTCCAAAGGGGACTGAATATTATGAAGTTCTCTTGAAAATATAGTTCATGGATCAATGGATTTTGTGCATCTTTAATGATTCCCAAGTCATATATAGCCCAGGAAACATGAATCTTGGAACATATAGGTTGCTCAAATTCCAACAAACCAAGTATGGCTGGTATTTTAAATGTGGTTTCTGGGATCACGGACTAGTTTTGAATGTTGAAAACACATAACTGCTTCTGTAATCCCTCGCTGAACTTACAAAAGCTACACTTCCATTCCTTATGCCCATCTTCAATGAGATTTGTGGAGTTGCTGTCCTTTGCTCGAGTTGGTAGTCCACAACGATAACTACATGTTTTAAAACCCTGAAATCTGATGCCCTGGTCAGCAGCCAGCAACTGAAGCTTAATACAAACTTCTCAAAAAATTCCCATCACTTACGGTGACTAGGTCTAATGGCGTTTGTCCTTCCTGGTTTTTCAGAGTAGGATCAGCTCCATGGGCCAATAATAAGGCACAAAGCTGTGTCCTTCCTTTTTGGGATGCTTCATGCAAAGGTGTGAAAGCCCATTTGTCTGTAGCATTTACACACGCATTATACTTTATAAGCAAAGCTGCTACATCTACATGCTGGAAAATAAAATACATTTATATAGTGCAATCTTCAGGAAAAAAAAAACTTTTTTCCCCCTATAATTTGGTTCAGGACATTAATGTGCAATATACAAATTTTTAATTAATGCCGCTTTTCACCACAAATGACCCTTGGCTGGAAAGTGGATGTTTGAGAAGATGAAATTTCAGATCGTCAAATTAAACTGCAGCCCCTCAAGAGTGGTGAAGTTGTTGTTTGTATATATTCTTACACCCTCCATTT